AAAAGGTTTTAAATGTGTATTTTCCAAAAAGAATATTCTAGTCCACCAGATGAGATGAATATTCCATGCCACGAGTGAAAGCAACTTTCATCTCTTCTGAAATATCCGCGGTTGCAAGCACCATGAAATCATCATGGAGACAGGCACCCAGGGGCAATGGTAAATGTCTGTCTGATGAGGACTGTTCTCTACAGTAGCCCATTGTTCCTTGATTGCTTAACAGAAGGAACATCTGCACGCATCCCAACACCTTATTCTCAACATTTTCCTAAATGACCCCTCTTTTCAGTTGATCCAAGACTTTCTTGGGCCTCCTAGAATGGATGTTGAGAGCACAGTAAAACCAGGAAGCCCCTGTATCCAGGCAAATGGACAACTGGACAGATTTTGGCTGTCTGGTGGAAACAACTCTTTTAATAACTATCTGGATCAAATAACGATCTTTGTTACCTCTTGTTATCCCTATATTTCTAGTTCTTCATTCTGAATTTCATATCTCTGTTAATCTAAGACCCATAGGTAAATACTCTGGAATAATCTTCAAAAAATTTTTTCTATAGTGGGCCTCTATGAAATTATCTGCTCACTATATTTCCCATTTCTTTTAAGAAATAACATTCCATAATCACTACCACCCTCCCTAACACTAATTATAGTGAGAGGTCCCCATGTTCTAACATGATACCATCCACCCCCTATCCCTGGGCATTGTTGATTTGTTCTAGGGTGGGCATGTGAACCAAGATGGAATAGCCCAGCCAATGTGGCTCAGTGGTTGAGCCTTGACCCATGCACCAAGAGGCTGCTGGTTCGATTTCCGGTCAGGGCACATGCCCAGGTTGTGGGCCCAATTCCCAGTGAGGGGCATGCAGGAGGAGGCCAATCGATGTTCTTCTCTCTCTTGAATGTTTCTATCTCTCTCTCTCTCCCTTCCTCTCTTTCTCAATCAATAAAGAAAAAAAAAATTTTTTAAAGATGGAATAATTAGAGTATTAGGAAGACTTAAGGTGCAAGAAAACCTGATGAACAGTACCTTAATTTATTTTTTTTCCCATATAACAAGAACTCCAAAGGTAGGCAGCCTGGGGCTGGAGCATCTGCTCAAGGCTGTCATCAAGACCCAGGCTCCTTTTATCTTACTGCTCTACAAACTTTTTCGTGGAACTTTCGTAATCTTGGTTACAGAATGGTTGCTGGAGCTCCAGATAACACACACACATTACTGGAGGGAGGAATCACCGCGGGCTAAAGGCAGAGAAGGTAAAGCACTAAAGGGGCAGTTATGACAACTCTTTCATAAAATGTTTCCAGAATATTTGGGTGTTATATACACCTGTATGAAAAACTAATTTTAAAAGTACTTCAGTTAATAAAAAGGCAAGGTAGCAACACCAGAGTGAATTGGCTATTAAAGTACATTTAATTTTTAAAACCAAGGATGTCACCAACTATTTTAATGATCTATGTAAACATTTGCCTCTAAAGGCCTAAAAGCTTAAAATAAAAATTCCAGCACAAAAATAGAGTAAAAATCTCAAAAAATCCACTTTTTGCTAATCTCACTACCACCAACCTCACCACCACCCTCATTAGAATTTCTGATAAATTGTCAGAAGTGTGCCAAGGCGTACATATGTGTTTGGCAATACTTTGTTCTTAATTAGCATGAGTTTCTGTATCTAGCCAAAAGTAACTGAACCGAGTCACTGTGATAATGTATTTCTTAAGTATGACTTTGAAAATTTGAGAATTGATGAAAATAGTACAATTTAGTAAAGTTAGTGGGTATAAGTGAGTGTGAGTGTGTGAGTGTGTGTGTGTGTGTGTGTGTGTGTGTGTGTGTTTAGAAGGCAGTAAAGCTATCAGAGGGCAGTCAGAGCCCTTTTATAATTCCCTCTGGAAAAGGGCAGATTCATATACCATCAGCAGGCCCAAAATCAGTTATGTTCAACAGAGCTTTGAAGAATAGGGGAGGGGTAAAGTTCATAAGAATTCTGAGAAGGATGTATAGTTTGAAAAGTGATACTTAATATACCTGTACCTCCTGAATTTGTATAAGGCTATTCAGATTCTTTTTGGCTGGTAGGGTCACATAGAACATAAAGCATTGTAGGAAATTGGGTTCAAAAAATGATGAGAATCCCTACCTTTCACCTTGTGTTTTACAACTTACTGTAAACTTTTTCTTTGTCCCCACTAGCTTTCTGATGCTTTAAATAGCTTGAATAGGGGAGGCTTTCTATTCTCTATTGACAAATTAGGCTTGAAAACAAGTATCATTTTGTAGACAATTTGAACCCCCAGGAAGTGTGATTTAAACTTATAATAACCAGGATGTAAAGGTCTTTCTTAAGCATAACATTATAAAATGAAGGTAGGGAGAGTGGTGGAAGCCAGGAGAGGAAATAAGAGAGGTCCTTTGCACAGAGAGGCTAAGGATGGGGAGGGATGAAAACCTGGAAACTAATACAGAGTTGGCTCAAGATTAGCCTATATGACTGGACAAACATTCATCACAGCCTCGCCTGCTTGTCTTTTACTAACTTTATGGGTAGCCTCTTAATCAGAGCAATAAGAAAAGGGGTTCTTAAAAATGGGCCAGATATGCCCTGGCTGGGTAGCTCAGTTGGTTAGTGTTGTCCTGATACAACAAGGTTGCAGGTTGATCCCTGGTCAGGGCACATACAAGAAGCAATCAATGAATGCATAAATAAGTAGAGCAACAAATTCATGTTTTACTTTCTCTCTTCCTTCTTCTCTCTCTAAAATCGATCTATCTATCTTCTATCATTTTTTTTTTCCAGAGAGGTTTCTTCTTAATGAGATTCCTGTTATCACCAGGCCTAGTCAAACCTCACCACAGGCATCTAGAAGAGGCAAACAATACTTCCTAGAGTAGTAGTTCTTACCTTTCCTTTCCTCCCCCAACTCAGCTTCCCAGCAAACCACACTATGGCAGAAAGCTTCCCCTAAAATAGTTTATTCACCTGTTAATCTAGGCCCTGGCATGCTTTATCTGGTTTTGCTGCTTTTCTGGGCCTGAAGGCCTAGATGTTATCTCTAGGAAGGAAAGGTGGGGGAGGGAGGTCCATACACCTGACCCTTGACCAGTGACGTGCAGGGTAGGAAAGGTTGCCTTAAGGGGAGGTCTCGCCCTGCAATTGTCCACTGCTAGGCAACTGGGCCTTTCCTCACTGGTGACCTTGTGTACCTGGCTCATGGTCCTTGCTCTGCTCAGGTCTAACTGCCTACCACAGAACTGTAACATCAAGTTGATCCCAGAAAGTATTCCTAGGATTCTTAGGATCCTTTCGCTAGCTTTTTATTTTTTATTAATTAATTAATTAATTTTTGTTACAGATGTTTCTCCTTTTTCCCCCACTGATTCTCCCCTTCCTTCCCCCCCCCCCCCGCCCTGTCCCCAGCTTTGTTGTCCATTGTTCATGCATATATGCATATAAGTTCTGTGGTTTATCTCTCCCCCACCACCCCCTCTTCTGGGGATTGTCAGTCTGTACCCCACTTCCACGTTTCTGGGACTACCCCATTCCTCAGACTGTTATGTCCATTATATTCCACAAATAAGTGAGATCATATAATACTTGTCTTTCTCTGTTTGGCTTGTTTCGCTTAGGATAATACTTTCCAGGTTTCTACATGTCATCAAAGGATAAGAGATCTTTCTTCCTTACAACTGCATAGTACTCCATTGTGTATATGTACCACTGCTTTTTTATCCATTCATCTACTGATGGACACTTGGGCTGTTTCCAGATCTTAGCTATTGTAAATAGTGCTGCTACAAAAATGGGGGTGCATATATTCTTTCTGATTGGTGTTTCAGGCTTCTTAGGGTATATTCCTAGAAGTGGGATCACTGGATCAAATGGAAGTTCAATTTTTAATTTTTTGAGGTAACACCATATTATTTTCCATAGTGGCTGCACCAGTCTGCATTCCCACCAGCAGTGTACTAGAGTCCCCTTTTCTCCACACCCTCACCAACACTTGTTGTTTGATGATTTGTTGATGGCAGCCATTCTGACAAGTGTGAGGTGATACCTCATTGTTGTTTTAATTTTTATCTCTCTGATGATTAGTGATGTTGAGCATTTCTTCATATGTCTCTTAGCCATTTGTATGTCCTGTTTGGAGAGGACATCTGCCCATTTTTGAATTGGGTTCTTTGTTTTCCTTCTGTTGAGTTATATGAGCACTCTATATATATTGGAAATTAACCCCTTATCTGATATATCATTGGTAATTATGCTCTCCCATACAGTGGATTGCCTTTCCATTTTGATGATTGTATCTTTTGCTGTGTAGAAGCTTTTGAATTTGATGTAGTCCCATGCGTTCATTTTTTCCTTTGTTGCTGTTGCCTTAGGTGATGTATCAGTGAAAATTCTGCTGTGTATGATGTTTAAAATTTTGTTGCCTACAGTTTCTTCTAGGATTTTTATGGATTCATGTGTCACATTTAAGTCTTTTATCCATTTTGAGTTTATTCTTGTGTATGGTATAAGTTGATGGTCTCCTTTCACTAGCTTATTAGACTTCCTTCAGAAACTCGCCCTCGGGCAAGGAGTTTCCCAGGCTGCACCCCCAACAATCCTACAAGTTCCACAAACTCTGAGGTACTAGAACCAGGGACCAAGGGGCCTTCTATAGGTAATAAGAGCTACGATATCCAATGCTGTTTGAAAATGTAGGTCTAGCAGGGTCTCTGGCCATATTTCTGTCCAAGGCCCAGCCCTACTTTGTCTTCTCCCTGTGGCTGACTGAACAGCATACCAAGGCTGTAGGTAACTTACAAGAAAGCCTCTTTCAGCTCTGCCTACACCCCACTGTGCTGACAGCCAGCTCTCCTCCCTACGGTCACACCCTGGCGAGGAAGGTGGATTCTTATCTCCAACCGGCAGCCCTGCAGGCGGCGATAGGAGCCGGGACTACAGCTCCCACAATCCCCCGCACGCTCGCCCGCCCGCCCGCCGGGCCGCACGACGAGGTAGTAGCTCTTCTTCGCCCCAGGTTCCCTGCTCCTGCGCGGTTCGTGGGCTCGGGGTCCCGCGGACTCAGGGGCCGACCTCCGGGACGCGGGCACCGCCCAGGGTGACAGTGCGGGGACATGGCCTTGCCCCTGGGCAGGCTGAGCGCGGGCCCCTGCTGGCGCGTGGCCCGGGGCGGCTGCGGAGAGCTGCGCGCTTGGTCCCGGCGCCGCACGGCCGGATGCATCTGCCGGGCCCCTGGCACGGCCGGCGCCGAGCCAAGCCGCGGGCTGGGGCACCGCGCGGCGGCGGGAGGCGGCCCCCGGCTGGGGACCGGGCTGGCCGCGGCGCTGGCGGGGCTGGCAGGGCTGGCCGCCGCCGCCTTCGGGCACGTGGAGCGGGCGGAGATGGTGCCCAAGGGCTCGGGGGTGCGGAGCCCCTCGCCGGGGAGGCCGGAGGAGGAGGACGAGCTGGCCCGCCGTTGCAGCTGCTTCATGGCCTCGCCTGTGACCGACCTGCGCGAGCTGCGGAGGAGGCCGGGCGACATGAAGACCAAGATGGAGCTGCTGATCATGGAGACCCAGGCCCAGGTGTGCCAGGCGCTGGCACAGGTTGATGGGGGAGCCCGCTTCTCTGTGGACCGGTGGGAGAGGAAGGAAGGTGAGGAGGTCGGCGCGTAGCGGGAGTTGAAGACAGGCAAAGGGGCTTGGACATAGGTTGCCGGCAGAAAATGCCTCAGAATAGGGAGTGGGAGTAGGAGAAGGGTACCTGCTAGAGTAAAAGAGCGTCAAAAAGATTGACACTTCAACCCACTTCTTGCAGGTGTGGAACCAGATCTGCCACTCTAGTACTGGACGCTTCAAAATCTTTGCAGTTTTATAATGGCATCTTGCATAGAAGTCTTGGGGTTAGTTTAGCCAACAAGCGTAGATGCACAAATTTGTAAGTGAACATAGATTTCCCCCCCGTTTCATCTCTTTCTCTTGGTGCATTTGTACTTCCCTTCCTTTGGAGATGGAAAGACAAACTCGGTTCCTCTTTGTTAAGTGTTAGCCAGACTCCCCCAGCTACGGGTGTCATTGTATAGCTTTCCCAAGTTGCACAAGAAAGACTTGATTGGCTTGTCAGTAGTTCTACAAAAATGCACCAGTCTGATTTCCTGCTAGGACAGTCTTTCCTGCCAATGGCGAATGCCTCGGTATTACAACCTAGTTCTCCTTCCTTTCCCTTCCCTTCCCCTTCTCCTTCCCTTCCCTTCCCTTCCCCTTCCCTTCCCCTTCCCTTCCCTTCCCTTCCCTTCCTTCCTTCCTCTTTTCTTTTTCTTTTTCTTTTCTTTTTCTTTTCTTTTTCTTTTTCTTTTTCTTGTTTTTATTGACTCTTTAGAGAGAGGAAGGGAGGGAGGGAGAGAAACATCCATGTGAGAGTTACATCCATGGGCCGCCTCTTGCACGCCCCCTACCGGGGATGGAGCCTGCAACCCAGGCATACGTCCTGACCTGGAATCAAACCTGGACCTCTCAGTCCATAGGGCATGGCTTAGTCCACTGAGCAACACCCCAGGATTACTACCCAGTTCTTATATAGTCATGACCTTTTTATTACTTATACAGTGAAACCCCACACTTTGGTCATAAACTTGAAGGATTTCTGACTTTTCTGCAGCAACATCTCATCAACTGATTTTGGGCTATGATACTGCCACCTTTGTAATTAAGTGAAGTTAAAAGTGGTTTTCATAGTGTTTTACATCTTGTAATGTTTTCAAGTGGAGACCCTTGAACTAGGACACAAGACCTCAAGTACTGGACTAGCTGCGTGACCTTCAGAAGTTAGTTAACTCTTTTGTGTGTGTGCCTGTTTCCTTAGCTATGAAATAATATATGAGGGTATTGTAAAGATTAAATGAGATAAATATATGTAAGTGCTTAAAATATTGTCTGATACATAGAAAGCACTGAGAAAGCGCTGGCCCCTTGCCAGCTGTGTGTTCTTGGAGAAGGTGTTTTGCCTCTTTGTGCCTCATTTTTCTTATTTGAAATATACAATTGTACTGGATCATCTTATGTCCCATCCAGCTCAAAAAAAGTTTTAGAAATAAAACAAGCCAAAAATGAACTTTATTAAATAGTTGCTCTCGTGGTAACTCCAACATCTTAAAAAACAAACAAACCAGCTACTAATAGTAAAGCTTATATACCTAAATGTTACTGTGTCTCACGCAGGTTAGGGTTCTAAATCCCCTAAGTGATCCAGTATCTACTGTTTTTCAATTGCCTGTAAACAAAATTAAAAGGCAAACACTGAGGGGGAAGAAAAAAAACAATTGAAACAATATGGAGCTCTTCAATTCGGTATTAGAACCGTCTTCAAACATACCCATTCCTGTTTTTAACCTTAGCTTTCTCTCATATATCATAACCAAAGCAGTAGTATTTGGAGGGAAAATATTCCAGTGATTTATTTGAAATGACAGCATAAAAATGTAGAAAAACTATTCAGTTCGGTGATTTGGGGAGATAATATTGCCTGTGATCAGTAGCAAATGTCATAAAGCTAAGTTAACTATCTAATTTTATTGTACCTGAAAATGATAAATATACAGATATTATAGAAAATAGAGGGGGGAAATAACTCGTAATCTCACCACCTCATGCAAGGGTTGTTTTCAGTTTTGCACTTTGTTTTCATGCTCTCCTCATTGTACACTTCTATAAACAGGAGGTGGTGGCATCAGCTGTGTTCTTCAAGATGGGCGTGTTTTTGAAAAGGCCGGGGTGAGCGTTTCTGTCGTTCATGGAAATCTTTCTGAGGAAGCAGCAAAGCAGATGAGAAACAGAGGGAAAAATCTGAAGACTAAAGATGGTAAACCAATCTCAACAGCATTTAATAGTTGACAAGTTTTATTTGTAAAATAAATACTGCTTCTGTAAAAGGCCATTTGGGTGCATATGCCTGATAAACATGTTCACCATTACTTTTTAAAAATTATATTTTAAAAGACAAATGAAAAAGCAGCTTTTAAAAATTGATCCAGAAACAACGTTGGAGTTACTGTGTGTCAAGCCAGGTGTTTGGGGGCAGCTCACTATGTGTTTTCCTTTCCAGGTAAATTGCCGTTTTCTGCTATGGGTGTGAGCTCCGTTATACACCCCAAGAATCCACATGCTCCTACTGTCCATTTCAACTTCAGATACTTTGAAGTAGAAGAAGCTGATGGTAAGTGTGTCTGGAGCTGTGGAAAGTACTACTGTGCAAAATGTGCATTTTAAAACAGGTTAGAGGGCATATCATAATATTGAGAAAGAATAAATACAGTCTTAACTAAGTTTTTCAGGAGGCATGTGATAGCTTATTCCTTGGCAGGTGTGATGGATTGTGTACTGGACATGAAAAGTGAAAATGGTATTGGCTGGGCTCTGATCTCTTGCATATTTCCTCCAACACAGAAGGAATGCTTTTTTTTATCCTCACTTGAGGATATTTTTACATTAATCTTCAGATAGAGCTGGAGGAAGAGAGAGAGGGAGAGAGAGAAACATTGATGTGAGAGAGACACATTGATTGATTACCACCTGCACAACCCCAACCAGGGCTGGGGATGAACCGCAAACATGGTATGTGCCCTTGGCCGCAATAGATCCTGGGAATCTTTGGACTGTGGGCAACGCTCTTACCGCTGAGCCATACCGGCCAGGGTGAAGGAATGCTTTTTTAAAAAGATATGTTTTCATTGATTTTTTTTAGAGAGAGAAGAAGGGAGAAAGATATAGAAACATCCTTCATGCCCCCTTCATGCCCCCTACTGGGGATCAAGCCCGCAACCCAGGCAATGTGCCCTTACCAGGAATCAAACTGGGACCTCTCAGTTCATGGAAGGACACTCAATCCACTGAGCCACACTGGCTGGGCTAGAAAGAATGATTTAGTGAATCTGAACTTAAAGTGCTTGCAGAGTTCTTTGCAAATATAAACTAATTATATCCAAAGGAAAACCTCGTGTGCAAGGTTAAATTTAAATTGAGAACTTGCTTTTGGAAAATATGTACCATGTGCATAGCTTTGCTAGTCACCAGTGCATTGTGGGGTGCGGCCGATCTTGCCTCACTATGCACGTGTAGTTTCAGCCTCGGGCTTCCATTAGCTGGGCCAGCTCTTACCTCCTGTAAGAACACCTGTGCAATGACACACTGCTCCTATTGTGTCTCTGCAGGTGATTGCATTTAACGTTGGTGTATTTAACTTTTCACTTTGAAGCCACTTAGTTTGATTCAATCTTTTAATGTTTAAAAAAATTGGTAACTGATATTGACAACCTCTAGACCTAACTAAGCACATGAATGGTAAGTTGTCTCCCCCAGCAAGTGTTTTTTGTATCCTTTCTAGAGAACAGGGAAGACGGTGGCAATGTTCTTAATACAGGGAGCATAAGACTCTCCTCTTTTGTTTTGTTTTAAATAAACTAGAGATGCCTGGGATAGAGATTTGCTTTTTTTTTTGGTTTCTTAATTGTGACCAGCAGAGGCATTTTAAGCTTCTCATATGACTTTAAAACCAACTACCTGGTCCACCTATGTGGTGTTTAATCATTCTCTGCCAGGTGTATCATTTCCCTGCCTGGTTCTACTCTTTCAGTTTTTAATTTCCTATTTCCTCTTTTTTCCTGCCCAGCTAGGCCTTATGGGCCATTCAGGGCTAAATTCAGTTGAATTTTTTAAAATTGATTTGAGGGGCGGGGTGGGCAGGCGAGCGGTGGGGTGGAGTGGAAAAACATTTTGTTGTTCCAGTTATTTATGCATTCATTGGTTGATTCCTGACCAGACATCGAACCCACAACCTTGGTATATCTAAATAACCCATCTACCCAGCCAGGGCCCAGTTGAATGTTTTTTGATTGTCACCCATTTCATGCTTAATGAAGTAAGCCAATAAATTGACTTTGCTAATACTGTGAGTAGTGTGATGTGTCTCAAAGTCCAGAGTCGAAGTCACATTTACATGTCTTGATTTGGTAGGTAACAAGCATTGGTGGTTCGGTGGGGGAACTGACCTCACTCCCACGTACTTGAACCGAGAGGACGCTGTCCATTTTCACAGAACTCTAAAGGAGGCTTGTGACCGGCACGGCCCAGATCTCTACCCTAAATTCAAAAAATGGTAGGTAAAGGTATTGAACTTGTCAGGATACCTAAAGTATATTCTGTTCCTTACTAAATATCTTTTTCAGTTTATGAAGGTTGAACTGTCTTTTTACCCACCAGAAGTGGGATACCAGTTTTAAGTGGTTTTCATAAGTCATTGACCTAGGAATATTTGAATGTCTGCAATAAAAATTGGGTGGCAGCATATTCTTTGATTCCAAATGATTTAGAATATAAATGTTAAGGTGATTTATGCTTGCAGATCCATGGCTCTTTAATCCTCTGGTGGGATAGTAAACCCTCTTCCCAGATGGGAAGTGTGTTGCCGTGGGAATGGATGAGGGCACAGGAAAGGCTGGAGAACTGTTGGGACTGATGCCAGTGTCCCAGAGGTTTAGACAAGGAGAAAAGTGGAATTGGACACTCTGTGAAAGAAACTCTAATTAGAGAAAAGAAACAAGAGTGGGGGGGTCTGGTAGATGCGAGATGAGTCCAGACACAAATTGCTTCTGAGGGCAATAGCGTCACTTGCTTCAAGAAATATGGTATTAACCTGAGGCTGTTTGTTTCTCTTTTCATTAAAGGTCTTAGAGTCCATATGCTTTAGCTAGACATGTATTAAATTGCCTGCTTGCTTTGCAGATAAAAGTAAAAGCATATTCGACATCGGTGCTAACTGCCGGACATTCATCTAAAGCCCTAGCTGTGTTTTCCTAGGTGGACAGAGAGGAACGACACTGCTGGCATTAGTCGAGGATAATACTCAAAGATGAAACACTCACGTTGATTTTCACGCCTTTGTTTTCCCCCCCTCTGATCTCTGATTTGGCCTTGCTCTGTTTTTCAGGTGTGATGATTACTTTTTTATACCCCATCGTGGGGAGCGGAGGGGCATCGGGGGTATCTTTTTTGATGACCTTGACTCTCCATCCAAGGAGGAGGTGTTTCACTTTGTGCAGAGCTGTGCCCAGGCTGTTGTTCCTTCTTATATTCCTCTTGTGAAAAAGCACTGTGATGACTCCTTCACCCCTCAGGAGAAGCTGTGGCAGCAGCTCCGGAGAGGACGGTGAGTGAGGAGCAGAAGCAGAATAAACCAGCTCATTGTGTAGCGGGTGGGGGAGAAGGGGAGCAGCTGTAGTAATAGTGGGTGGTGTGTTGTCTGGGGCAGATACTTTGTCAGAGTTGTGTTAGGACTCACCCTACTCTCTTTTCATAACTAGAGGGATAGTGAATGAGTAAGTACTTGCTGCATTTAACTCAGCTGATTTCTTTTGGTCTTCAAGCAGTACCCTCTGGCTTTATGCCAAGATAATGGGTATCATTTAATGGTTTTGCTGCTTTGTAAATTTGGAATCACACCTTTTTTTGTTTATCATTAAGGGTTCATGGAAGTGTTTTTTAATTTATTTTTTTATTCTCACCTGAGGATATTTTTTCATTTATTGCCAGACAGAGTAGAAGGGGAGAGAGAGAGAGCGGGAGATAGAGAGAGACACATTGATTGGTTGCCTCCCGCATGACCCCAACTGAGGCCGGGGACCTAATCGAAACCAAGGTACATGCCCTTGACTGGAATCGAACCCATGACCCTTTAGTCTGCGAGCCAATGCTCTAACCGCTGAGCCAAACCGGCCAGGGCTGGAAGTGGTTTTAATGAAAACAATCATTTTAGAACTCATTTACACTTAATGATGATACTTACTAATTATGGAGCCCTTACTGTGTGTCTACCAGTTTGCATCTGATTTTCTCCACAAACCTGTGAGATTGGCGTAAGCCTCATTATCATTTTATAGATGATAAAACGTATTCTCAGAAAACAAGTTCCTTGCCCAGGATTACACAGCTGGTAAATGAAAGATCCCAGATGTGGGGCCAGGTTATGACTTCAAGTCTTGCAGTCTTTCCCATTCATGAAGGAAGGGTTTGAAGCAGGTTTGTGTTTCTTACGACACTCACCTTAGCCACCTGCTCTGTATGTTGAGCTTGGTGAGCTCACTTGTGTGATTGTCGTGAGATGGTCTTCAGCTGGGATATACTTGTGCCTCAGCCTCAAACTATCCACTGCTCTGGCTCACATGCGTTTCTCATCGCCGTCTTAATTGCATATATAGAGCTCCATGCTATAAAATTGATGTTCTCATTTGTGTTCCTTCTGTCTCAGGCATGTGAAGCTTTGGGTACTTAAGGAGATAAGGGTGGTGCCCGGAAAAGGTCAACTTAAATAACATTCCAAGTCTAAAGATAAATGCTTATGATTATCCTTCCTTATGGCCGCCTGTGCTGTCTGGTCTCCATTTATAAACATGGGAAAATGAGAGTTAGCTTTTCTTCTTAGAAATTTCTTAAACAGTGGTTGGGACTTGTTTTTGTTGTTGTTCCTATGCTTTCTCAAATACACCTTTACTTCTCCTTTCTTTTTTCACTTGACCTTTATCATGTGCTCCCTAAGCTAGGCTCTGCTAGCGACAGAAGTGAGCATAACATGGATCTGTGAAAACAGCTTCCTCAGAGTTCAGTGGAGAAGGTATACATACGAGGATAAATACGAAAGAAAATGAAATGCTGCAGAAACTAAAGCATTTTAGTTCTGCCTAAGATCTCATGTGCAAAACTGGCAGGTTTTGTGAATACTAATGAGGTGAAGTCTTTAAAACTTCTTAGACGTAGGAATAACGTATTTGTTTCGTTTTTCATTCTTTGTTTTTATTATCTAGTGACAAGATATTTTGACGTTTCATTGGTATATATCATTGCATGTTGTGTGTTTTTTGAGTTAGAAGTGTGGGGCGTTAGATTCATTTTCTGTGGTGTGGTGGGTGGCTGTTCAAGGGGGAGCCTCCTTCCACCACCCTTATCTCTGGGAAGATGCCTAGCTCCTCTGCAGTTGTCAGCACTGCTTGTCTTGCAGGGCATTTACAGCCCTATCTCTCTCCCTCAGAGGTTGCCCTTCCCCACCTCCTCCACCCCAGAAAGAGTTTCCCCTGCAGTGGGCGGGCTGCTTCCCTTTTGACTTTACAGTCTCTTATATGTAAACTCGTTTAGTTTCTTGTCCTCAGTTACTACCATTCTTTCCCCAGACCTTGAATATCAGTTCAAGTCTTATAGTCCCTCCCCTCCCCCCAGCCCCCTAGGGGAACAGAGACTAAAGATCTTCACCTCACTGTTGTTTTGTTGTATTTTGAGAAAGAGAAATAGGATAAACTTTAGGCATCAGTTAAATTGAAGGGAATTCAAGTCCATAGTTCACAGGTAGCTCAGAGAGGATTAATGTATAGAAAGATCAGATCTCAGCAAAACCTGGTGGGGGTCAGGGGCTAAGGTAGGGAAAGGGGCATCACTCACTCAGGAAAGGAAAGCAGCGGGATCCGCAGAGAGCCCATCCAGGGAGCTCCTTACAAGGTCTTTCACAAAGGCATCGGGACTCTTGAGAGAAACAGCCATTCCTTGAATGCCATGTTTCGAAAAGGTTGCTTCAGACCGGGGTGGAAAAGGGCCGAGAGACTGAAATTCTTTTCTGTGGTCTTAGAGGGGAAGAAGTTAAGATTCACTTAAATTATATTTTGAAATAGGCATAAGGTATTAAATAGTATGCAAAATTCAGTCAATGATAAAAAAAAAATGGTGAGGATTAGAAAGGGATTCATGGATATCATTTATTTAAATTTTCTTAGAGCCTTTGGCAAATTTCCACACACAAGAGTGCTTTCTCAAAACTGAAGTACCCTGGATTCTAGAAGGTATTTTCTTCCATGTGTGATTAAAGACAGTAGCCAGTGGATAAAAAAGAATATCTGAGGAAGTTTAGACTAAGAGTTCTGACTAAATTGAGAAATGATCTGAAAAGGACACTACTCATTGACATTTTCAAATTTATGGATCATTATAAATTCCTTTGGGTAGTAGAACTTATTTTTTGAAATTGGGCAGTGAAAGGTCTGAGCTGGCGGGAGATCACGTCCACAACATAAGGCCAATGTAGAGCAAAATGGCTTTATTGCATGTGCCTGGGGGCAGGTGGGCTGAACCGAAAAGGGTTCAGCCTCGAATAACAGATGGGGTGTAGGTTATATACTCTGCTCTCAGCTTCCGGCAGTTTTTGCTGGTGTACTCTGCCTGGCCCGTTGTCCACTTTGCTTTGGACTGGTCTGGTATCCTGTCCTGCATCTGCTGGGTGATTCATTGTCTTGTGGATATTCCAGATAATCCTTATCCATACTCAACAGAAGGCTGAGCAGAGGTCATGCAAGCAACACATTCTTACAGTTTCTGCCTTTTGCAAGCTTTTACGTTTACCCTTTAAAACGTTACTAACCCTTTTAGGGAGAAGAAACCCTTTTATAGAGGATCCCATGACGTTAAAGGCAATCACAGAATTTTAAGTTAGACAGAGTTTAGATCTGACTCTGGCAGTTAATGGAACACCAATGTGCTAAACCAAGTTTACGTTGATGTTAAGGATATTTTTCTAAAAGATAAAATTGAGCACTGCTACTCGACCAGTACCTTCTATTATGATTGCCATGAATCTGTAGGAAAGCTGATTTTTATCACCGTTTGTTAATGCTATTTAACTACTTCAATAAAAGGAAATATCTAGAATATATTAATAGATTGCTATTGCTCTGGCCAGTGGGCTCAGTGGTTAGAGCACTGGGCCATGCACCGATAGATCATGGGTTCAATTCCTGCTCAAAGGCACATACCTGGGTTGCAGGTTCCATCCCTGGCCCTGGTTGGGGCTCGTGCAGGAGGCATCCAATCCATTTGTTTCTTTGACATCTATGTCTGTCTGTCTCTCTCTTCCCCCACCTCCCTTCCCATTCTCTGGGAAAAAAATCCTCTGGTGAAGATTAACCAAAAAAACGAGAGAGAGAAATAGATTGCTGTTATCTGCATTTGGCCTTTTAATTACAAGATTGTTACCCTGTGTTAGTACACGTGGGTCACAGGCACTGAAATGGAGTCTTTGGCTCTGCACTCTGGGGGAGGGCCGGAGGAGCCTTGCATTTCTTTTCATGATTATGCCTTCGTGATTGTTTGTGTTTGTTCTCTTTATCTACTGGAGAACAACCTTCTTATTTTATAACTGCTTTGTGTTGGCGAATCTATATTCTGTTGTTTGTTGAATAGACTACCCCTTTATTTATGCCTGTCCAGATGGAGAAAACTTAACTGACTGTAGACTTGTGCCAGTTCCAGCTAGTTGGGGGTGGGGGGAAGCCCCCCTTTACGTATTCATGATGGGCTACTCTTCAGGAAGATTTTGCTCAGCGCCCTTACTGTTGTTCGATGTCTTTATGTCAGGTATGTGGAATTTAATCTGCTGTATGATCGGGGTACAAAGTTTGGCCTCTTCACTCCGGGATCCAGGATCGAAAGCATCTTGATGTCTTTACCTCTGACTGCCCGGTAAGAATTACTCATCATAATAATTATTCCCCCAGCCCCAGCCCCCAACCCCACCAGACATGAACATTAACACTGCAAATGTCTTACCCAAAGACTTCACTGGTTTTGACTGTGCTGATTTTATAAGAAAAGCATAGTCAGATAATTCAGGAATGTCAAAGTTGGTATTTTAAGGGGTGTCAGGATGAATGATTCAGCTTCGTGTGTGAGAGCAGGGGAAAGATTGAGGGAGTGAAGGATATAGGGGGATGATCGTGTCTTGGGCCAGATTAACCTTCTCTAGTTGGTAGTTTTCTAGGAAGAGCTATTTATTTGAAGATATCAGCTTTAAAACTTAATTTTATTAGAAATTATTGCACTTGTGGGGAGATGTCTTACTGTCCAGTATGAAGTGTTAAGCTTGTTTGAAGTATGAGGGGTCATTTCAGCTGCACGCATTCTCTCTGCTTCCCATACTGCTGTGGTGAGCCAGCTTCCTGGAGGTTACTTGGATCTGTGCAGGGAATTTTACAGACATATATTTATAACAGTATTAGTAGGTTAATAAAGATCTACAGTTGACTTTGTTGCCTTTAAGAAAATGAGAATGATATGTGTCTAGACTGAAATAGAATAGATCAGAAAAGAAAACAAGATCACCACTGTTGTTTTGTAAGAGCTAGAATCTTTCTTTCTTCATGAGTTTAAATGTCCAGATAAGAATGGACTACTGGATGCCTTTGACAGTCCACCTTGCATCATTCTGCTGTTCTGATCTAGCCTGTGAGATCGGTACCCTCTGTGGTTGTCACTGCCTTTACATGGCATGGGCTCTGTCCTTGTTTAACTATTGTTTGGGGATCTCATGCCCTTGGCTAGAAGATCATGCACATCACTGTTAGGTATTCCTGCTGCTCTAGACATGAGATGTGAATGAAAAGTAGAGGTGAGTTCTTAAGGTCTCCGGTAGTTGGCCTGATCACTGCTGACCCCTAATTATAATGCACGTTCCAAGCAGATGTGGGCAGATTAGAAATCACTCCTTTGCTCAGTTGTATAGCATGAACGCAATAGGTCACTCTTAGCTTCTTATGTCTGTACCAGGGTCTGCAAACTTAAGGCTGCAGGACAAATCCAAGTCCACTTGTGGATGTGCTTTTGTACAGCCCTTGAGCTAAGAATGGATTTTACATTTTATAAAGGATTTATTAAAAACCAGAGACTATGCAAGAGAGCACATGTGGCCCCACAAAGCCTAAAGTATTTATTTTGCGGCTCTTTACAGGAAAAGTTTGCGAACCCCTTGACTAGACCAGCATTTGCCAGACTTCATACTGTAGCTTAACCATTTTGACCATATTTGTATATTATCTGATGTATTGTTTAATTTTATAGTCCTATTTTTTCTGAGAGAGAATTTATTCAAAAAGGCAAACCAATGTTGTTGCCATAAATAGAAACTAACACAAAATAAATGTGTAAGTGTGAAGCTAAAAAGAGTTTGCCCATGGATCATCTCAGGTTCTACACTTTACAAAACCCTGGTTTGTAGTAAAAGTGCAGTTTGGTTCTGGGATATTAGTATTAGCCAAAGTGTGCACAGGAATTAAGAAACTTCATTTCTTTAGCAACAAGTATTTTTAAAAAGCCTAGTGGGTAAAAGGCATGTTAGGCACAGTGGAGAAAAAGGTATGAGACATTTTTTAGTCTTTTAGAATTTTATTTTTCATTTATCTTAAGAGGTATGTGTATGGTTTATTATTTTTTTATTATGACATGTTTTGCTTCTGTTTTGGGTATACACAGATGGGAGTACATGCATTCACCCTCAGAGAACTCCAAAGAAGCTGAAATTCTGGAAGTTCTGCGCCATCCAAGGGACTGGGTGCATTGATGGAGGTGACGCCTCATCCGGGGGTTTGGGGACACAACATGTGCCCCCGTTCCACTGGCCAGCACCGTTGCCACTGCATGGCAATTAGTTCCCTGTGTCTTGAGCCCCAGTCTTCACTCTGGAGCCTGTCTCCCTGGCAGGTGGTGAAATGGGTTTTAAGCACCACAGGTTTCTGTTGGGTGTCGCTGGTGATGGGCGGTGCGATGGCAGCTTGTCAGAGCCGATTGGTTGATACTAGTCTTATTTATGCTTTTAGAATCCTTTTATATGACTAGTTTACAAAATGTGACATTGGATTTCCTGTATTGAGTTAAGAGAATCTTAAGTATTTTCATTTTTATCAGGGAACTTCTCATGTTATTTTTATTTCTTTTAATTTTAGTTTCTACTACAAAAATCTGTCATGGGATAAATTTATTTTCATTAATTCAGTGAAGTTGAGCGTATTAGTAATTTTAGAAAGCAACATGAAATGAAGATAAAACTTGTCATTACTGAAGTTTCTTTAAACATAATGTTTGTTTTTATGTATCTTGATGTAGAAATCATAATGTAAAATACTCACTTTTTTATAATGATAGGTATTTAGAAACACTTGAAATTTTCTTAATCTCTACATATGTTACAATTGATTACCTGTGTTTGTTAATTCTACATCACTGGTATTTAAATAAGGGGCATCTAATTTGTCATTTTGATTTTTATAGAACTAGAATTTGTTAATGTTGGGATTCTCTACACTTTTGAATGTAAAATCTTATAACCATAGATTCTGATATTTAAAAATTTCTATTCCAGATAGTTCTGTATGGAGACTTAAACTAAAAACAATCCTGGGGGTGTTAATGAATATAGGAAATGTTTCTCATTTGGTGATACTTTCCTTCTTTAATTAAAGCAAACTTAACAACTGTTATGAGTGTGAGAAGCATGTAGGCATTTGATAAATATATTTTTCTCATAAGATGGACTAGTTGAAATTGTCCTATTTTTAAATCAGAGATTCTGCAACTCATATTTTTTGCTTTTAAGAGAAATTCACAACAAAATTCCAAATACGGCTTCTTTGTTCACATGATAATATGAATGTATGTGTTTTTAATCCATAATATATTGAAGTTTGTAAGGACTAGAATCTTCCTACATACGATTAAGCATCATCTTGGAACACATGGAATGTATGTGACTGTGTGACTCTTTAGGTCTGGAAAACGTATGAATTCGTCAATTGTCTTAAAACAGATCTGATTAAATTTTATTATGAAATATGACAAATGTTTATATTTTTCACTTTTTCTCAGGTTAGTTTACACAGGGAAGACAAATATTTCTTAGTTCTTAAACCATAGATTTTCATTCCTAAGTATCTTGTCCCTAAAAAGGATAAGTTCTGCACTCATATTTTCATGACATCTTTATTCACAATAGCCAATAATAGAAATAACACAAATGCCCATCAGCAAGTGAATGGACAAAAAAACTGTGGTATATCCATGTGTTAAAATATTACTTAGTAACGAGAAGGCACGACTTGATAAACCCAACAACATGGATGAATGTTAAAAAAGCGTAATGCCAAGTGGAAGAAGCCAGACACAAAAGAGCATCACTGTATAACTACATTATATGCAAACCTAGAAAAGTCAAAGCTCTAACTACAGAAAACAGATTAGTGGCTGCTGGGGGCTGGTGCTAGGGCTGGAACATGGATTGTAAAAGGGAGCAAAGGAATATTTTGAGGTGATGGAAATGTTCCAAATACTGATTTGTGTCAGTGATTACCGCACTGCATACATATATCAATACTTCACACTTAAGATCATGGAATTTTATTGTGTATATAATTTATACTTCAACAATGCTGATTAAATTAAAAACCCATCATAGGCATGTAGGAATGAATGTTCAAATAAACCTCAGTTTACCTTTTACAATAAAAAGTCCTTTTATCCTGTAGATCTGCTAGCATATTTAGTTGTGTTTAGGGCTATTGGGGTCTGGGCGTTGGACTAACATAAAATTTCAAAATTTTTCTGTGCATATCAGTTTTTCATACCCTTCAATGTATTTCTCTTACAGATGAGATGGGGGTAGGAGGGGATAACATAATTGCAAAGCTATTGGAAAAAAGATCATTCTGCTGTTATTCAAAGTACATTTCTCTTTCACAATTGTACTGATGTCTATTCTGAGTCTACTAGAGGCCCAGGGTGCACTTCCAAATTACCTGAATACCCAGAATACCCGAGTGCTGCTGTCTTTCATATGCCCATTAGTAGTCATAGGGATGGTAATTTGGGGGGAGGGATGGAAATGCTTTGGAGCACATTTCTAATCACTGCTTTCAGTATGCTTGCCTTCCCACCTATTGAAGTCTGTTTGAAACAGAAAACTTTTGCATGCTAATGAGCCCCAGATTAGAAGGCCTAACAATGTGATTTTTTTTTAAAAAATCTTCACCTGAAGATTTCCATTTATTTTCAGACAGAGTGGGAAGGAGGCAGAGAGAGAGAGAGAAACATCGATGTGAGAGACACATCGACTGGTTGCCTCCCACACGACCGAACCATGGCCGGGGACCAAACTGCAACTGAGGTATGTGCACTTGACCAAAATCGAACCTGCAACTCTTTGGTCCTCAGGCCGATGCTCTAACTGCTGAGCCAAACCAGCCAGGGCAGTAATGTGACTTTTTATGACTGCTGATCCTTCCATGTGTCTTTTGCTGTTACAATTCATCAAGGCTGGAATCATCTGCAGGTTTTTTACTCAAGCATCAGTGCCCAGGCTAGACCACTCGAAGGCTGGGCTCAGCTCGTACTCATATTTCACCAGACAGGGTATGCAGGGCTGCCTTCTCTGATCTAGCTCCCGTGCTTATGTAGTGTCACTTCCTCCACATTCCATTGGTGGCTTGAGTCACTGAGCCAGCTCCAGGTTCAAGGGGAAGGGAATAGACCTTAACTCAATGGGGGGAGGGTCAAGGACTTCATCTTGGAAACCACCACAGACTTTTCACCCCCAAAGCCACAGATTGACTTAACTCTCCCTCGTTGCCTAATCAAATCTTGTTGTCTACCTTTGAAATATTTCTCGATTTCCCTCTGCTCACTGCCACCACTGTCCTTCAGTCTCACATTCCCTGTCACCTGAGCTTAGCCTCTGGTCACTCTGACCTCCATTCTCTCCCTTCAGAATTACTCCCCGATTGCCATTATTGCTGCCCTCCTCAAACAGTGTAAGCATCCCCTCTTCTGCCGAAAAGAGTCTGAACTCAACCTGCCATTCAAAACAATCTACCATTTCTATCTCAAAGCTATCTCAATAAATTTGCTAAAATTATGACTTATTTGTGAGGGAAAAAACATTTTTTAAGTATCTTGATGTGTACTGCAAATTATTTTTCAAGTGTTGACATAAATAACATTGCCTGTTTTGCCACCCCTTTGACACTACTGTATATTAAGAAATCAGCAACTTGAGAAAATTATGTTATTATTTTCATTAAAAGGCCTTTTTATAACAGAGGAACAAACACTTCACGCTATGTTTATTAACTTGAGTTCTCCTCACGTCCTGTGCACGTCTCTGAGTGTGAGTGTGGTATGTGAGAGGGCAGGGGTAGTAGGATGGACGTCTTCGTGCTCTCCTTAGAAACCTGATTAAGCTTCGTAGGTATTAAAAATGTTCCTTTTGTCATTTTTGCTCTCAGCATTTTTTCCTCAGACTCTGGCTTAAATTAGTTAAATTTGGAAGATTTAGTTACTGCTTCTCAATACACAAAATTTCATTTTTAGAAGTTTCCTTTATGACTTTTTCCTATCATTCTTAAGTATAAAACTTCCTCCATTCTCCATATATTTGATATTTATGTCTTTACTGATTGATAAAATAGTTTGATTTTAAAAATAAATCTCAATTATTAATCCCAAACTAAACAATCTACCAGTTGACCCAACCTCTCTTCAGCCTTATCTTCTATATTCCTCCCCTCAGACTACACACCTACCACTGATCATGTTTTCTGAACAGTCCCTGATTCCCTAACATCTGGCCTTTGCTCAGGTTGCTGTGTCTCTGCTACATCACTGCATTCATACAGCCATTCAGTGTACACTACACTTACTGCAAAAAGTTTGAAGTAAGCCTTTCCTTATTTACAATGCCTACTGTCTTGTGAATGACCTGTTAACCTTTGTCTTCCAACACTGTTTTGCAGTATATCATGGTATCAAGTTTAGTATTATTTGGCTTTCTTTATAACTCATCCTAGTCTGTGAAGACAAAAGTTCCCAGTATATATCTTTTTTTAACAAAAATTTTTCTTTATTTATTTTAGAGAGAGGGAGAGGGAGAGGGAGAGAGAAACACCGATGAGAGAGAACACTGATTGGCTGCCTCCTGCATGCCCCCACTGGGGATCGGGCCCACAACCTGGGCCTGGGCCCTGACTGGGAATTGAACCTGCAACCTCTTGGTGCATGGGTCGATGCTCAACCACTGAGCCACACCAGCTGAGCCCAGTATACATCTCTTAAAAGCCCAATTGGAGACTTTTCAGGGACATATTGTATTATCCCTGCCACAAGTATTATGTATTTGAAATCCCACATTTAAAAATTTGATCCTTCCCAAAGAAACACACATGTAAAATTCCAGTTTCATAATACACCCAATCTACCACATTTAAGTTAGTGAAGCTTAAACATATACAGATGTCTTGACCAAATCCTGAATTTAGAATTGTTATTCCCAAAGAAACACACATGTAAAATTCCTATTTCATAATACACCCAATCTACTACATTTAAGTTAGTGAAGCTTAAACATATACAGATGTCTTGACCAAATCCTGAATTTAGTATTGTTACCTGAAACCAAGTTGTACAATGTAAAACCCCACAGACTTGTTTCTGCAGGTGGTTTAATACCAGATACACACCAGTGTATACTAGCAGAGTAAGGTAATTTAACTGCATTCCATCTTCCAATCAATGTACTGTATTTTGATTTTAGAAGTTAACTCATTCATCAGATTTTAAAGAACCCTTCACCTATTAATTCCCATTCATCAACACTTGTTTGACATAAAACTTGGCATAATCTAATTCATCATGGTTTCAGTGAGTTGACACGAATACAGTCATTTGGCTTTGTAGTCATTCCCAGTTGCAGCATCGACTCTGTCATGGACTCATTTGCTGATGAAATGGTTAGGGAGGTATCAAATTAAAGTTCACAGATAAAGTTGTACCTGTTGAATGCCTCAGTTATGTAACAGCAAGTGAATTATGCATTTATAAATAAAAGTCTTCATAGTCATCTATACTCAGGTCTGGTCAAAGCTGTTTCCCTTTTTTGATTTGGTGAGGCAGCCCGAGGCTTGTAGAATGTTCTGTGCCTGCTGCTTGACACGCTCCTACCCACAGAACTAAGATGCAAAACTTCAACCCAACTTGTCAATTTCTTATAGTTCGAGTTGTAATTTAACTGAAAAATAATTTAGTAGGTAGCATCAAAGAATAATTTTATTATTTTAAAATTAATATCTACATCAATACGAACTTACCAACTTCTGCTGAAAGTTCGAATTCAAGTCCATTTGATCTTATATACTATTCAACATGAATAATGTGAGTATTTCTAGAAAGCAATGATGACCTACTTTTCCTCTCCGCCTGCCTCTCCCCGACAGTCTTAGTAACAGTCTTAGTAACGTGAGGGAGATTCGGGCTCCTCTGGGAACAGCGAGTCTTCCTGACACTGGCAGGTGGAGCAGAGACAGCCGGCCCTGCGGGGCGAATCGGAATTCCAGCTCACAGCGTCCACGAGCGCAGTCAAGTGGTCGCTGTTTCATGTCCTAAGCTGGGGTGGCTTGTTAAACAGCAATAGGCAACTGGAACAGGTTAGAGGCCCATCACAAAAAAGAGGAGAGCAGTTTTGATGAGCCTCACATGCATGAAAGCTGTCTAAGCCAGTATTTAGAGATGTGAGTCTGAGGCTCATGAGAGAAGTTAGGTTTAGAAAAATATATTTACCAATTATTTGTGTAATGATTGATAAGGTGATAATTGAAGTAGAAGGTGTGCCATCCGACGAGATTCATGCAGTTTAATATAGAAAGAGAGTCCAAAACTGAACTGGGGGCAGAGAAATGAGCATGAAAAGGTGGAGGGTAGGAGGCCAAGAAGAAGCTCACTGAATGAATAGAATAAGGAAGAAGGAAATTAAAAGGGACAAGTTGGGTTGTGATTGTAGTAAAGGTTAAAAC